TGTGGGAAAATTCTACTACCAGTCCTTCATCACCTTACACGAAATAGGATGAATACATCTCATTACAACTAAGAATACATTTGGACTGGAATTAGGCAATTTCTTTCATTAATCTAAGCTACATAAGAGACGTATTCTAAATAACAAACTAGATATTTGTTATGACTTGTCCAGAAACAACCTTGTAGAGCGCTTGATATGGTGTTTTGATACTGGGTACCAAAATTGTCGCTAAGTGAGGTATAGGTCCCAACAGAGAATGCATTTTACTTTGCCAAATCTATCATTTTTCGGTTATTTCTTAATCACAATGGACAAATGAAATATCTTTTTTTTCTATGTTTCTCTCGTCATCTGACAGGAAACTTTTACTATTTGTTACTTTGGTTCGGACACTGTATAATTCCATGCATCCCTTATCAAAGCGTCTGAAAACTTCTAGTAATGAGGCATCAAGCATGGAGGTGGAAATTGAGTCATTGGTAGACAATTTAGGGAATACTGACATTATTTGTCTAATGATTCAATTGAGGTTTTATTATTTAAGTAGACCAAAATCAAGTCATATAATAAATGGATGAACACATCGGGAATAGAAGAGACCAGTAGAATCTGGACGAGGTTCACTGCCTAAATGGAGCTCGATCATATGAATGCATTATCCTTCCTCTCCTTTCATTCTACCTATTCCCCCACCATTTCTAGCCAACAAATGTGAGGCGCCAGATCATTTGGCAGTCGATGGCATCTGAAGACCAGAAAGAAGACATAATGATAAGGCGCAAATCACGTTCAGTGGTGACGCGTGATCCAGTCATATTCGGCGCTCAAACTCCCATAACCCAGGCAAAAGGAATGACGTCAGCCAGTTGCTGTAAAGTGGAAAACTTGTTTGCTCGATTCGGTTGGAATCAGTTGCTGGTAGGCGTCCGTGGAGGCCAGTGGCAGGTGTACAAGGGTGCCTTTTCACTCACTCCAAAAACGCTCACATTCGATACCACCCAACTGGGAAAGTAAGTGGCATAACGGCACTTCCATGTTTCGAAGTGACTAGTCTCTTTCACCAAACCAGGCATAAACGCCGGATTGAGGTGGGCTAAACCACTTGGTCGGATTGGACTGAAGTGGTCGAAGGATTGGTAAGGCCAAAGAACAAGATAAATGTGTTTTACTCGAAGTATAAGAGGAGAAATGAAGAGATAGTAGTCCACAATAACGATTCTAAAAGAAAGAGTCGAGTTAACTGGTGCACGAAAGGCACACCAGGAAATATAACTGACTGTAGGGAATTTGGCAAGAAAAGGTGATAAAGATCGTCAAAAATGCAACAAACGAGAGAATCTCAATAAGACTTTCTTTGGTTGGCTTTTCTATACTTTTTAACATGCATATGGATGCAGTTATGACCGAATGAGAACATCTTTACTGAACTAACTTGTAGCTATAATCCTGCAATGTTGATGCATGTCATTGCATTCCATTGCACATGTACTGTGCACATGTGATGCTCATTATTCGCATTAGGTGTAAGAAGGTTTATCAAATTCGAGGTTACTTAAGCCCTCTCCTCTTGATCGGCACTACTTCTTGTTATATGGAATTTAGTCACCCTATTTCGTTTAAGACGATGAAGGACTGTTGGTTTACTTTTCCCACAATCATTTGAGTAGACCTTATGCTTCCAGTGAATTTCACATAGTCTGGCTTCCAAAACGGTGTTCTCATCCAGGCTGAGGTGGACTGCAGTTTTGACCTCGCCCAGGTCTCACCAGCCTCCCCGGCATGACTCAAGCAATGAGAGTACATCGCGTGATCTCGACATGTTAACCACTACGTTACTCTACCACGAATGCCCTTTGGTCACAGAGCAAATGTGAATTTAAGGGAAAGCCTGGCATTTTCCCATATGACATACTCAGATGGAATTGTCGATGTAGCAAGTTGTATTTGTTATAGCAATCGGTGACATTACATATTTTTTATTTATAATTAGGTTTTCGAGACTATCAGTTAATCAGATATATGAGATGTGTTCACCTTATTTCGTTCATATTATTTACTGGTTATTTCGAAAGTCTACTTACAAATGAAACATAAATACTGCTTGTTCCATCTCCCTCTTTCTCAGCCTAATCATATCCAACAACTATGGGTAGTTTCACTTGATTTTCTTCACATAATTCTTGTATTCGATGTGCTAGCACAGTTTTTGGCTTCTATACACTTCCAAATCTTCATTTACTCACGCACTCTCAATAGCCCCCGAAATGTTCGGCTTTAGACCAAGCTGTTGTCTTATGTGAGCCAAGTGTAAGATCAGTTCCGATGTTTAGACCTACACACCTTTGCAGACTGCTTTATGCTCAGATAACCTTTTATGTTTGAGTCAGTAGGTCACCCTTTCATATACGATATCACATGAAGCTAATATCTTGTAACAGCCTGATTTGGAGAAAGGGTCTAAATATTCCAAAAAAGATTGTAATACCGAAGAAAATGTTATTTTCTACTTATAACTTGTCCTGATGTCCCACTTCCTTAGCATTCCACCTCTTCTTTTCGGGAGCTCATTGAATGCTCAGAATCAAGACTCAAGCAAAGTGGTCCAGCCGTCTATTTTGCCTCAAATAGATATTTTCCTTCATCCTATTTGCCACAATTATTAAATAATTCCCAATTAGTCATAATGAATAATTGTTCTCAACCAAAGCTTTTCCTAAATGCCTTAACTCCTGATTTTGATGCCTAATATGTGCAAAACTCGGGATCCTTATTGCCATAAATGTCATAGCTCATACCTTAATCTCATAAATATCAAAGTTGTTTCATCTTGTATTTCGAAGGAAAAGTTGGCTGGAACGTTGGCTGCGAACAAGTCCTCGGCTCACTGTACTGCGACCTCGATGAACTTGTGCTAAGCTTTCGTCTGTACCGCTGTGACAAGCATCATTATATCACGAGTCAATACTTTAAGAGCTAAAGCAAAAATATACCAAACCAAGAGAATTCTTGTCATAGTACAGAAGAAAGCTCAGCACAGGTTCATTGGGGTCTCAGGACGGTGAGCCGAGGACTTGATGGCAGAATACAACCGTCTTCCCTACGCGGCAATCCTCCTTCGGCTCCGGTGAGACCATATCACGAATTCCTTCCAACCAACATTTCCTTCGGAATGGGAATTCATCTCAATATATCACTAAGCAACTCTTGGAACCCGATTTTTTCTTCATATCTTTGTTTGACCTTGTTTTCGCAATTTAATTGTATTGCCAGAACGGCATAGACAAACACACCTTGTCCAAAGTCAATAGTATCCATGATAATTTCAAATTAGACCATACGTTTCGCAGGCATCGTAGTCGGCATTGTCGGTGAGCTTTGCCATTCCTACCACCACACTACAAAACGTCTGGGAATGTACCAACTCCATGGTCCAGCGCTGGAAATTATCATGGATACCATGAACAATTGCCAAAATGCGCTCATTTAAGTCGCCTTGACAAAACAAGCAAGTTGCAAAAATAAGATCAAACAATTTCTCTACAACGAAGAGGGACCACGGCCATACTAAAGGCCGCACGATCTTAGTCTTCACACCCATAAGTCTAATCTGAAGAATAAATTCTTAGGAAAACCTGCATTTTAGGTGTTTCCTTCGCACATTTCTACCCAATTGGATTTCTTATTTACTAACTTGACCGTCTATAAAAGGTAAACTAGTATCTTTCTCTAATTCAATGGCGAACTTAGTCATTCCATTTATTCAATTCATTAACTTTAGGATATTTTCTGGGCTCGCTTTGCTGTATTACCAAATGGCAAATTTGTCATACAAAAGCATAACCAATGTTGTAAGAGTTAAAAATACTTGTTAAGTTAGATGACTCTCCAGTTGAGGCAGGAAGTTAGCTGCTAAAATTGGTGACAAACACGATCTCATAACAGTGGGAATGGGAAACCAGCGAGGAAGATCACGCATCCCAAATAAACCCTCACAAAAATTAAGCACACTTTGAATACATCGAGGCAAATTAGGATATCTGTCTTCCTGAAGTGGGAGTGAAGGGATGAGGATGGAACACTATAGGATTGAAGATGTGCTATTCATTGTTGAGCAATAAATGGTTACTGTGATTTGTAGTAAATTGGTACTGATAAAGTCGCTACTTATTGGAGATGCCAGAAAAGCATCTGGAAAGGCTACCGGTGACAGGTGAGATGGACAAGTAGACAACACACCAAGGACAGTGGATGGAGTGCGGAGTTCATTCTTTGAAGTATCCTAGAAACAGGAGTATTATTTGAAAATCTAGGTTATACAGCAAGACGAAAAAGTAACTAAAACAAAGAAGGAACCAGTTTGCTGAGATTGTTTATTATACAAATATGTATTATGCGACTACAATCGACTGAGTTAATTTCATTTAGGAAAAGTAGATTTCGAGAAAATCATAAAATATAAATATGACTTCTAGTCACTCCAGGTCTCATTAGGCGGTGAAGGACTGATAACTAAATTTTCCCACATTCATATTAGGAGGCTAAGTAGAATTAGACATACAAATGTAAATGTATGAGAATGAAACTATCAGTCCTACATCACGTTATGTGTAATATAGTGACTAGAACCTTTATTCCAGATTTATTGATAGTCTCGAAGCCTAGTTTCTACCCCCATTTGTGCTAGAATGTCATTTGTGACACGACCCATATGAACTTTGGCCATCCGGCTCAACGAAGTTAGGATTGGTCTGAAACTGGTCCAAATGGACATCTGACAATGATTTTCCTAAGTTCCCTTCTTGCCTCGGTGGACAAAGGACCGCATGCAAAAATGACCAGAACGTGGAGAAGAGGGCATAAATTAGCGTACACCCTCAAGCGAGACAGTGTTAGAGCCGAGGGGAATAGGTGATTTGAGCCTCGTGACCAGGACGTCTCGAAAGGATACATCCAGCCAAGACGACACTATGTTCCAACGAGAGTGCACCATTTGTTATCCTCCCCACCCGCAACAATCATTGCTAGACCTATTAGCATATGGTTTGTTGGCATGAGCATGTATGCCACCTTGTCCATAGGTCGCTTGGACTGGATCGATGGCATGAATGGCCCATGCGGT